AGGGAGGAGCAGTAGGCTGCGGAGAAATAACCTCGTCCTCCTCTGGCTCGTCTAGCGCACCGAGAGGAGGTCGACGGTTGCGGAGGGGAATGTTATCCATGGTATCCCCGGAATTTGAAGAAGCAACGCGGCTGTGAAAACTCGGGTAGGAACAGTATTGCCGGGACGAAGGATGGAGAGAGGAACAGCTTCAAGTGCAGAGGGCAATATTTCGACTGAATCAGAGGAGGTCTCGGAGTCTGGAAATAAAATAAAGAAAGTTATGTTAAAAAGAAGTCGTCGCAAAGGAGAAAAGGGGGGAGAAGGAAGACTAGGGTTTCCGAAGGGAACAACCCCCAAAAGGCAAAAGGGGAATTCAAAAGGGGCGAAGACAGAAATTTCGAAAATTTTCAGAGGGAAAAGCCAAATTCGCAACACCCAACAGACAGATAGAGGAATTCAAAGCACAGATTCAACACAAAACACACCTATGACCTAACAGAATGCCGAAAACCTAAGAACACACACAAAACAGAATTACAGAGAATATAAGGTCAAGTATGAAGAGACTTACTCATAACCGCAGATTGACGAACGATGGAAATTTTGAAGAGTGCTGGAGAAATTGCCGAAAAGGTAAGGAGTATTTGCAGAGAGGATTTTGAGTATAGATAAATTCGAAAGCTGTGAAGCTGGAAAAAGTCTGAAATTTTGCTAAGTACTGGTTTTATACCTTGGAGAGTTTAAGGGGTGAAAGAGGAGGACCGTTAGATTAAAGTCGGATCGTGCGGTGGAAAATTAAATTACACGGTACTCCAAGTGGGAACGTTATGCGAGGGGGCGTCATCATTAAAGTACCTGACACACACGAACAGACGTGACGCGTGGCAAAAAAGAAGGAGCGACAGGAAGGACTTGAAACAGACGACTTTATTGCTGGCAATTAATGGGAAATTACTTGAAAACATGAGCAGGAAACCTATTGGCTGGTCGATATTGGATGACGAATCATCAAAGAGGTCGATAAATACCAATTCACTCTTAGATCGAGTCATCTAGACTCGACCAGAGTGGGGGGGACTAGATGATATGGGATATTATATACTCAAGGATAAACCGGCCTACTTGGCCGGTCGAGGAGGCCAAAACCGGAAGCAAACTGAGTTAAAAAGGCGGGAGGATTGACGCTCGAGCAACTCAAGGCTCGACCAGTCAAGCAATCGAGCAACCCAACGCTCGGTCAGATACATCGAGCAGTCTATCATTCGATCAGATAAGTGATCGAGCAAGCCAGTCGATCCCAGCAGGGTGATCGCTTCGAGAAATTCATAATCGACCTAGTCACGGGCGCGTGTACCATAGGCGCGCGTAGGAGCCTCTGACTGAAATCCCCAGAGAATATTTACCCCATGTGCTGGGGAAACACGTGTCGACAATGTATTGGGTGATGGTGATAATCGCCTATGACAACTCCCAACGTTCTGCGCCACCTCTGACATGTGTGCGGCGTGTCAGATTACAGACGGGCAGCTTGGGCAGCCAGCTCACCTCATCCGGGCAGCTCTTAGGGAAGGTATCTCACCCTTATATAAAGGGGGTGAGCCTTTCTCCCTAGAGAGACACTATTCATTACTCAATTCAGTATATTCATACACATACTGACTTAAGCATCGGAGGCTCTTCACCGGACCCAACCCCCGGTGTGAGAGTTATTTGCAGGTTTCCGGCGTTCTACCGGCGAGGACAAGAACCGATCTACTCCAAACCGGACCCGGACGCTTACACTTGCATTAAAGTGAGAAACACATGAGACTCCTAAAATATACGAAGTTTATTGTTAATGGAAATTTATGAGTATAGGAGTAAGAACGAGTTTTATGGTCTTGTTTGACAATCAGCGGTTAGCTGCACCACAAGAATAATCATTTTTAGTGACGATAATTTTTGTCGCTATGTCGTCAGAAAAAATACCGTCGCTAATAATGTCCTAATATTGTCGCTATATATTCGAATGTCGTCACAATAATACCTCTTATTGTGACAGTATTTTTTGTGACGACATAGTGACAAAAATTATCGTCACTAAAAATGATTATTCTTGTAGTGCTGTTAGCTGTTAGCGGATTGTATTAGCTATTTTGATTAGTGGATGGTGTTAGCTATTTTGACCAGCTGATTGTTTTAGCGGTTTTCAAAAGAGTGTTTGGTAAATTAACTATTTTTAATCAGCTGTTAACATGTAAAATTACTTATATGGACATCTATTCTTTTATATTCTTGTTTATTTAAAATTATAATTATATAGAAAATAACTAATACTTATATTTAAAATATTTGTAAAACGGCTTAAAATAACATAACACAAATAAGAAATAACAATATATAACTGTGAAGTGAAAAAAGTGATGAAGATTCTAATTTGACATGATAATAAATATTCAAATAAAAAAATAAAATAAAAACACATAATGTAAAAATTCGCATATCAATTATCAGCCATTACTCTTACTCTTCCTCTATAAATTTGCAAATAATTTATCACTCAATCTTTTTTTTTTTTATTATTTTTACAGAACACCTAATTCACTTAATTTCAAATGTGAATGGAGTATCTAAAGAAATTTTAGTTCATTTATAATCTCAATTTTATTTTTAACCCAATATAACAATGTAATAAAATATAAATCTATTTTCTAAGCTAACTTTGATTTAACCCAATTATGCTAGTGTGTTAAATAAATATGAGGTAGAGTTAATGTAGTAGAGTTAATTAATGACAAATATGTCATTTTATATTTTTCACCTCAAAAAGCTATTTGAAAAAGCTTCAATTTGTGGCTTTTTGAAAAACAGTTTTTAGATAAAAAAAGCTATTTCAAAAAGCTATTATTAACCAAGCATTTTAAAATTAAAAGTTTCAAAAATCAAACAACTATTTTGCTCAAAAAACTAATTTGTGACTGAAACGCCATTTAACAAACATGACCTAATAATGGCTGCGTTGAGAGTTCATGAAAATGTTAAAGATGCTCTAACAGGTTGGATGAGCCATTCGGTTTGAATAACTTTTTCGTTTTGTTTGATATGAGGGCAAATTAGGCAGTACAATTTGGCAATTTGCACAAACAATTTGCTCTCTAGCTATATCATGAGGGAAAAAAAAAGTTATTTTTTTTTTTTAATTTTTTTAATCGCTAAAAAGATTCGACGAATTTCTGTGGGGCCCTTTCATCTTATTATTTGAAAACCCAAAAAGATCCGCCTTTTGAAAAATAATACATTTCACGAGACTAATAAAAAAGCCACTTCCACGCCAATTTCGATAGCTATGTGCACAATAAACAGCATGCATGCACCTACAAATTCAACACTTTTGCCCGAAAAGGTGTACGAATAAAAGATTTTTGGTATATG